GGAGGAATGCAAACTCTCATTCTTTTCATTCCTTTCTTGAAGATGGCCGGCGCTGCACTATCCCTCCGTCAAGCCGCCGTCCTCGCCTCAGTTCGAGATCTCCTCGGCGCACGAGATATCCGAGCTGGTCTCGCTAGAGCTCGATGCACAAGACACCACCGAATTCAAGGTCGTCTTTGAGAAGGAGAGCACCGGCGCAAAGACCACCATCCAGCTCAAGACAGGTACAACACAACTCAGCTTTCACACGTTTCACGGTGAACTGCTTTGCTAACGGTGCGCCATTGGGTGACAGAGCACGCGGAGGAGCGATCCAAGCTCACCAACTCGCTGGCCAAGTTGTGGGAGGCGATGTTCAAGCTACCCCTCAGCCTCAAGTACTACAACATCCCCAACTAAGCGCCAAGGTGTGGTGAGTGGAGGCAAGGGGAGATGGTCATGTTACCTTGCAACGCTCTTGCTAGGAAAGGAAAAAGAACGCGGAAATGCAAGAGTGAGAAGAGAAATCGAAAAAGAAATTCAATCTCGGACAGCGAAGCCGAAACAGATCAGCTGTTATCAACAGTTCCCCTCCTGAACAACGCACAGCGTCCGTGTACCGCACCAGTTTGGGATGAATCGTGGTGCGTAGCAGCCGCAATTGGCTTGCGATGATGCTGAGCTGATCTTATTTTCCGACCATTTTACGAAACACGTAATCAGGCCGTGGCGGTAGAGGTGGCGGTGGTCCTCGAGGAGGCGGTTCCTCTGGCGGCAGGGGAGGTGCCCAACGCGGAGGTAGCGCATCCCGCGGTCAAAGCACCGGCACCCTTGCCCGCGGCCGGCCAAATCCCCAGCCAGCCTCTCGATCCACCGGTGCGCCCCCTAATTCTACTTTTTTATTTTTATTTTATTATGATTGTTAGTATTTATTTATATTTTATTTATTTATTTAATCTACTTTTTTGCAGCGGGAGCGCCGTTGGGCATGAGCCAACGAAAGGCGACACGCGACGCACGTAAACGGAGGGAGAAGGCCGAGCGGAGGGCGAGAAGGGGCGGCGCGGGCGAGGACACCAGGCAGCAGCCGAGGAGCGGTAATGATGAGGACGACGACACGCCGAGCGAAGACGAAGACGACTACTTCGAGGAGGACGAGGAGGACGTGATGATGCAGCACGTCCTCGCCGCGTCGCTCCTTGAACAAGGCGGCAGCCTGCCCTCATCGCTGCCCACCTCTTCCCAAGGTCAGGCCACACCAGACACACCACATACACACACCACACACACCATCATTCCACGGCTTGTTGAATGGGCTTTTTCTTTCACGATGTAGATTCGATGGCGATTGAAGGCGAGGCAGCTGATGACAACAACGAGTCCAAAGAGATGGACGAAGACGAGCTGCTGCAGCAGGCCCTACTCATGTCTCTCCAACAGCAGGACGCCGCCGCCCCCGGTGCCGCGCCTGATGCCCCCACCGCCGCCGCCGCCAGCACGATCGCAGTGCCCGATGAGCCCGAGCAGGCCCAGCAGGTGGAGGCCATGGTGGAGGAAGCCGCGCAAGAGAGCGGTGTGGATGTGGCATCTACAGCTCCGACGTCGGGCGGAGACGACGAACGAAAGCAGCGGCTTGCGGCCCTGGCGGCAGCTCGCAAGGGCAGTCCTGGGTAATTTCCTCGTCTTACACAATACATGTTGTTGCTGTCCTTCATGTGCACATCACTGATCAACCGCACACACCGCACATCACACGACACGCACTGTGCACACTCTGCTCGCATGACACACGCACGGCACACGCGTAAAGTGCGATGCTGGCTGGGCAGAGACGTGACAGACGAAGGCAGGAAAGGAGACGAGAAAGACGAGCTGTGCAGCGGGCGCTCGAGGAGGAAGAATATGATGAGTACGACTACGATGATGACTGGATCGACGACTCGGGCGTGGTGGGCGGCATTCACGGTGGCGCGGGGCCAGAGGCCAACATGGACAAGGCCATCCGCCTGTCGCTCCTCGAGCTCGACAGGAAGGGCAGCAGCGCGTCGGAGCCGATCGCCGTCGACGATCTCGACCTGGCGGAGGAGATAGCCAAGCAGTCCCGCAAGTACCGAAAGCGACTCGCCAGGTACATCCTTTTTCGCAACAACAAACGTTGAAAATTTGGAGAGTGGGGCTCACACTCGTGAAACGTGTGTGTGTCGTCGGCAGCGACGAGATCGTGATCAGCGACGAAGAGGAGCCGGCGCAGAGCCGGCGCCAGAAGGAGGGCCGCAAAGGTAGCGAGATTGTAGTCAACGATGCCAGACAATACGCGGACGATGACGAGGAAGAGGAGGACGAGCTCAAGCGGGCT